TCAATGGCTGTTAACTCCCAGCTAGATTGTACCAAAATAAATAGCTTTGTGTGGTGAGTCAGTGAATGGTCTGAGTCTAACGGTCTTAAACTGAATTCTTCTAAATGTCAAACTGTTAATCTCAGCTAAAGATGTAAACGACGTTAAAAGAGGCCGTCGATTCTCATGACAGTTGTAAGATTGACGACAATGATATAGGAATTAAATCAGAAATTAAGTATCTTGGACTTATTCTCTCTTTTGATCTCTCCTGGCGTTCCCATGTCTTAACGATCTTCAGTAAAATATTCCGCCTGACATTTGACATCAAGAAGTTAAGGCACTAGGGTACAACTCAACCCCTCCTATTACAGTTCACAAACTCTTGTATCCTACCCATTCTTCTTTATTGTTCACCCTTATTCTTTCCTGGTTTTCTTAAAAAGGACTGTGTCACAATTTGTAGAATGCTGAAGACTGTGAGTATGGTGAGTGGTGTCCCATCGGACCACATAGTTAACGTCGTCGTCGATAGGCGCTTGACTTCGTGCAATAAATTTGCTAGAGGGATTTTGTCTGACTTTGAGCATCCACTTTACCTTCAGCTTTCACCTTGCATCTCGCCTCAGGTAGAACAAGAAGTAACTTCAGGAAACTGTATTCTCACACGTTTAAGTATAAAAATTCTATGATACCATACGTGGCACGTATTTTATGTGATTGCTTTTCGACTGGTACGCTACAATTGCTTGGTTACATAAAACTCTCATTTCTCTGGTTTTTTGACCACGAAATTTTGGAAATTTTTGCAGTTCGTTCAGTTTCGACAACTAAACTTGTAGATATAATCTTGTTGACTACTAATACCTATAACTAACTATTTGACATTTTGTGACATTTTAACACTAACTCATATCTGTAATTCTATATATTGTTGGATTTATATGTTCAAGTTGGCCCTAGTTAGTGAGTCTATGGTTTTGGTATCATTTTAGTTAACTATACTTAACTGTATTGTATATTGCTGTATTCTGTTGTTTTTGTTGTCGCTTGTTGCCTTTTTCGCTGTTAATTATTTTCCTTTTGCTGGTGTTGTTCTGATTGTTTTATTCCTTGTTTTCCGATTTTGAGGGGAGTGACCCCACAAGGAGTCAAACCTAATGGAAGTTCTAGGCAGAAAGAAGAGGCTGGACAAACAGTGGCTTACTGTGGACACTTGAAAACTAGAAGAAGAGAGAAGGATCCTGAAACAAAAGATTATCCAGTGCACTGACGAGCAACAAAAACAGGAGCTGAATGCAAGCTACAATACACTGAACAAAAGAGTGAAGAAGAGTGCCAGACAAGACTAACGAAAATATTATGAAACCACGGCAAACGAGGCAGAACAAGCTGCAGGCCAAAGAGACCTCCCCCCACTCTACCAAACAACTAGATACCTTTCGGGCAAACGTTCGATACAGATTAAGCCAGAAAAGGATGACAATGGAAAGTCAATCACCAAAGAAGTGGAGCAAAGAAAACACTGGGCTGAACACTCCAAAAGACTTCTAAATCGTCCGCCACCTAAAACGCGCCCAACAATATCGACAATGGAAGCAGAACTACCAGAGAACGTCGACCCCCTGACGAAATCAGAAGTTCTGAATGCAATCAAGATGCTAAAAGCTGGAAAAGCAACAGGACTAGATGGAATCCCAGCAAAAGCATTGAAAATGGACCCAGAGACAACAGCGGACTTGATGACACCACTACTGGAGAAGGTGTGGAAAGATGGCAAATTACCTGAGGATTGGAAGAGACTTAAGTCAATGCAAAAACTGGCGCGGAATTATGCTCCTGTACATCCCAAGCAAAATACTAGGCCGCATCATCCTGGAGATAATCAAACACGCCTACCTGGATGAAAATCTTCGACCGGAACAGGCCGGACTCAGGAGAAACAAGTCGTGTATTGATCAAATCGCCACTCTGTGGATCATTATTGAACAAAGCTTGGAATGGCAGACACCTCTCCACCTCACTCAACTTCAATGACTTTTAAAACACCTTCAGTAGACAGCATCGATCGAGTGGTCATTTGGCAACTACTTCGCCAATACGGGGTCCCATCGACAATTATACATCTCATCCAACAGTTGTATGACAATGCTGCATGCCAAGTAATCCACAACGGGAAACTCACGGAAGCCTTCGAAATGAAGATGGAAGTGAGGCAAGGCTGCTTACTATCGTTAATGATTTTCCTGATTGCAGTAGATTGGATAATGCGACAGACAACGGCAACCAACGAGGAAACAGGCATAAAATAGACTCACACAAAGCAAGAACTTGGAAGATCTGGACTTCGCCGATGATATATGTCTGATTTCCCACAAACTGGAAGATATGCAAGTGAAAAGCAACAAGCTGGCGATAGAAGAAGCATCAAAGATATGACTTCACTTCAGGTGAACATAGATAAACAGAGGTGATGCAGATTCCTGGCCAACACCGGCAGCAATAACAAGAACAGGCAACAATCAGCCAGCATATATGGGAGGAACCTGAAAGAAACAACCTCCTTCACGTACCTACCTACCTACCTGGGAATCATCATTTCAATCACAGGAGGACGAAAATAATGAGGATATCAAAGCGAGGATCAACGGGAAAGCAAGACAAGCTTTCATTACTTTCAAGTCTGTGTGGAGGTCAACACCACTCAGCATCAAAAATAACATCCGGATATTCAACTTCAATGCGAAGTCAGTGCTACTCTCTATAAGGATCAGAGACTTGGCGCGTCATAAATAGAACCTCAAACAAACTTCAGACCTTCCTTAACAGTTATCTTCCCTCAATACCACTAAAGATCAGATGGCCGGCCGGAAAATATCAGCAACACGTATCTCTGACAATTAGCAAACCAACACAGCAGGAACCGACTGTGCAACAAATAGGCAGGAAAAAATGGAGGTGGATCGATTGGCCATATTCTGAGAAAAGAAACCATCCAGTGACATCACTAGACAAGCCATTGCTCGAGGGAAACCCGAAAGGGAAATGGCGAGCTTGTCGTCAGTGTGAGGGTGACTTGGAAGAGTTCATGTGAAGAGGAGATGAAAGCATGCGGGCAGACTTGGAGTGGGGTGAAAAAGTTGGCAGAAAACCGGAGGCAATGGAGATGCGCAGGTGAAGCCCTGTGTTCCTCTAGGAATTAAAGGATATAATAATATTAAATAATAAAGTTTAGAACAGTCACGTGATAAAGCAGCGAACACTTGCTAGCCGTGGGTCAGTGATACGATAATGGAAGGCGACCATGTTCGTTTTATCGGGTGAATGTGAACAGTTCTATATGCGATTAGACTGAAGTCATACAGTGAAACCATTCGAAATTGCCTGATATTTGAATGGAGAATCTCAGTAGAAATACTGCTAAGTTGTCACCTCGGACTGAGTAATTCGTGAATGACGAAGAACGGAAACTGACATATCAATTTTCATGCGGATAGACTGAGAATTTAATTCAGTAATTACTACCAATGTCTGGTAGTACTCAATTGAGAACATTTTCATTACACTAAAATGAATGATGCAGATTCGAGGTGAAGCGAAATTCGGTGAATAAAATGATTGATTTAAAGATAGCTGCAAGAAAATTTCCCAGTGGATCAGATGCGTTCACTCTCTGTGATCTCCCTATTCCCATGTTTCTCCAGGAAATTATTCCTTCTCCCTCTTCATCAACTGCCACTTTCCTGTGTAAAGTCAACATACTGTCAATGTCGTGTGACCACTTTTCAGCATTGCTTCTGAATGAATACTATCATCAGTACATACACACACACACACTGGGGTTTGAACCCAGTAGCTTCCAGTTATAAGACGAGGTTATGGATCATTCAGGTAGGAAGAAACAGCTATCCAGTACCCACGGCTTTTCTAGTAGTCATCTGACTAGTATCAACTCGTAATCAAACCTTTGGTCAATGAAATCTGTGCACAGGAACAGTTAATGATGATTTCCATCAGTACACTCCATTACTTTCACTGATGTGAACGTATATCTTCTGAATGTTGAAGGAAGGATGATGAAGTTACAGGCTACACTCCACACTGTTTCTTGTCACATTTCCAAAGACGGATATCACTCACGTATCACTGCTGCCGACCTATCTACTCAACACAAATTTCACATTGCCTAATTATCTCACTACTGGCTGACAATTTAACGCAGATTTCAATTCGTTTTTCACATAATATACAGATGACACACTTCAGTAAAGATTTCATCCACTGAAAACGCTAGCTCTTTCTTGATTGCTTCGCTAGTAGGAATATCACACCGGAATGAAAAGTGTGGTAGAGAGAATCTCGCCATCCAATATCACCGATAAACTTAATGCATTTATCCCCTTTGATGAATTTGAATAAAGCGAGAACAACAGTGGTTTGTGGAGAATAACATGGTACCATCATTTATTTCGTTGGCTTCTCATCAGCTACTTCCAGCCTAAATAAATTTTGAGGTTTAAGAACAGAGAAGTTTTAATATACTTCCAAATTTCGCATGTTGTCAGTTGACAGAAAGTTCTACCGTTTACTAATTGTGGAACTTTCTGTCAACTGACAACATGCGAAATTTGGAAGTATATTAAAACGTCTCTGTTCTTAAACCTCAAAATTTATTTAGGCTGGAAGTAGCTGATGAGAAGCCAACGAAATAAATGATGGTACCATGTTATTCTCCACAAACCACTGTTGTTCTCGCTTTATTCAAAATCACCGATATAGTTATACAAGTGAGTTAATCCCCTCCTAACGCCAATTCATCACGTTGTCTTTGGAGGCAAGGAGAACGAATCCACAGTGTTCAAACGAGAAATTTTATTAGGTATCAAAGGTGACTAACTACATGGGAAAAACATGTATGGGTAAAGACATAACAATATATCACTTATTGAAGTGGAGTACTCATTTCTTCATCTATTCGATCATGTTTCACTTGACTAATTGACAGTGATGAGCACGCTCAATTATGAACAAAGCTTCTCACTTCGACTCTTCAAACGCCTCGTAACTGAAAGAGAAGTACAAATTTGGCGGATATTAGAACATGCATAGAACAAGTTTAGACGATTATATCATCGGCATTATCAGTGTGAGAAAGAAACATTCAGGCGAAGTCATCTGTGTATTTGTTGCACAAATTCCTACAAATATTCATCGAACGATATGGAGGACAGGATACACATCAATTTGATTTGGGAGATGCATTTCCATCCTAACAGTGATACAAGGGCACACTTCTACAAAACACTGGTGGAATTATTCTATCACATTGACACTGACAAGTGCATAATTGGACAAATTCAACACATCAAATAAAACTCACTGATGGCAAGAACATCCTTCAACGCATCACCCAATCCATCCTCTTGGAAATAATTCGATACCACACCGTTTGACTTGGCTAAACACTTTCTCAGATTATCACGAATTGCAAATGCATCTGCAAGCTGTAGAGATGTACATAGTCGTGTTTGTGTGAACACATGAGGTGAGGTGACTTACCAATTGTAGATTGTCTGTTTTATCTGTTGCAGCTCTGAAAGAAATGAAAAGAAGCAGCAGGGAGGTAGAGATGGATTGAATCTACTGGCAGATACAAGTGAAGTTTGTTTAGCATAATGAAATACAGCAGTGCATGTGAAGGTACAACATCCACAATCTGTGGTCGCTTCAGTATCTTGTGGTATATAAGCATCATACTCATCATGATATGCAGTCAGTCATCAGAGTACAGTAATGCGTTTCCTATCCCTTTACGCCCAGATCAACTTCTCTGATTGAGAACATGTGGGCTAATAAAAGGAACTCATTTTGTATATATCAGTGAGAAGTTGATTTGCAAGTGGAGTACACAAAACATGTAGTCAACTGATTCGTGAGGCGGATTTGTGTGATATGAAATCACTGTTTCGAGTGAGATCAGCTAAGGAGGTATGGTGAAATAGGGAATACAACCACCTGATTGACATTTGCTGTCTAGTTTCACCAATACACCCTAGACTATACAACACCAGCTTGAATATTGATCAACAAAGCATATATGAAGATAATATGTGAGCAGAATGTGACTGTGATTACCGGGACAAAAATTTTCTCACTCACTAGTCAAACGCTATGCAAAATGCAAAATGTAATAACTCACTCATTTGACATGACAAGGAAGCAGATAGCCATTGAAACAGCAAGAACCAGTTTCATTTTAATCCGATGTGATTTCAACACTAGTGAGATGGATGAATCCGCAACTTTTTTTATAGATTTTCACGAGTGCATTCTGTCCATTCAACGTTGATTTGTATTGAAATGGAGTGGGTGTGGTTGTGTGTGTGTTTGTGTTTCTATGTGTTTTTGCTTGATTGGCTGTCACGAAGAACGTTTGTGATGTTTGTTTAATTTTCTAATTTTCCTAAACAGCATGAGTACAGAATTATTAGATCAGTATTTATGTGTGTCTGGAGAGACGAAATAATTTCAGGCATTTCAAGTATTCATATCGTATGCTGTGATTGGCGCCTTCAGTGAGGTGACTAGGTAACTTGGAAATCATATTCGACAGTTCACCTGATATTGGAAATGATTCCTTCTCATTAGTTCTCATCTGTGTGAGGGGTAGTATCCATTATGTAAGTGTAGATATTTGGTTGATAAACCGATTATCTATTATGTGAAATCATTGAAATCATTCATATGAACTAAAAATTCCCTCTTTTATTTCTGGATACTAAATTTGTGACCACAATTCATTTATCTCCTGGAAATTGCGTCATTATTTGACATTTAACATACCGAATGCTGACCTGGTCTTGATAATTTGAACTTATCCTTGTTTAATCCTCAGTTGTTGTGTGATGCAGTGTAATGTGCTATTTTACAACGTGATTTCGCGTGAGTGAATCAAAGTGATTCTCATTTACAAACGTCTGTGACAGGCGTTGGTGTGTGATTCTTGCGGACAGAGTTTCGATTCACCGTGTTGGAAATATCCCGTTTGATTCTCAGCACATTCTCACAGTTGAACTCCGGTTAACTAATTTCCTTCTATAGTGCTTGTTTTGTGCTTAGAAATCTTCACTGATTGTAGAGCTACCCACCTGCAGCTTTGAGTTAATTTTTATGTTTTGGTTTTATTATTTCTAGATAGAATTGAGTGAGTATAGTGTTATATGAAAACAGATGTTCGTCGGCATAAAACATCAAACAGCAAGGAGGTAGATTTGACTCCAGAGAAATTAAATGATTCGGCCTTGCGGAGAAACATGGGAGACTTGCAAGGAACACAGAGAAACACTATATGAACGGAGGGCATAAATAGCAAGACACGGAAGATCTATGAATGGAGTGAGTTGAAGATGAGTTGTACGTGCTTTCCCTATACACCGATAACAAATAGCAAACAGTCATCATATTACCAAATCTATATGCTCCGACAGTTACAGAACCTCTGTTTTCCTGACTCTGGAGTCTTTTGTGTCTATGCATCTCTCAATGAATTTTTGATCAACTATGCAGTAGAATGCCAGAATCCGTTCTCCTCGTTTAAACGACATTGAGTCGGTTTAAGAGGTTACAGTTAGTTCACAGTCCGATTAAAACCATCCGCATTGTAGAGTAATGACATATTTGAAATAGGGATACATTCATTGCCAATTTAGACGAATCTTTCACCAACACTGATCTGTGTTGTGTAGTCCGAGTCAGTTGGATGGGAAGTCATGTATCCATCCATTTAAGGGTCGCTATTATTGCCACTAACCAATAATTGACGTGTGCAGGCACAAAAGAGAAGCTCTCTTCCTCACAAGGAGTGAAACACACGTCAACAAATCCTTCTTGGAGAAGACATTATCAGTGATGTATCTAATCGGTGATAGATCTCCTGCATGACTATGATAAATACACTGCTCAGTCACTAAAGCTTTATCGAATTCACACTGTCCTGTATTCATTGTTGACTGAATTTCATCAGTTCAGCTTTAGTAAATGTTCGACAAAGGCAGGAAGAAATACTACACAGATATCTCACAAAAGTGTCTCGACTAACTTGACAGAAATCTGCATCATGATAGTGTGCATCATGATACTTCTGTTACCACCCAGTTTGAAGAGCGTTGACAGGAATTTTGTTGAGTTTCACCGCTGACTGTCTTCTTATTTCAACACGCATTACGACGCCGAGATTGGTCAGGCTTGTTGGAATAAACGAAGACACAAATACAGAGAACCAATTGTTATCGACAACAATACTACTGCGATTCTATGTAGAAAATTAGCGTTTGCACGGAGAGGCAAATGATCAGCATGTGGTGTTAGTAACATGTAATGAAGCTGCCATCTGTGTTTAAGCCACCAATGTATTTCGATGGTAGAATGAATAATTGTTTCACTTAATATAACTAGGCTGAGAATAAGGAATCCGAGGAACTACGTCTGTGAAATGAAGTATGCTTTGCATCTCAGGACTTCTATCTTCAGATGATATCGAGAGGATATAAACGATTCATTGTGATGTTGAGGCGAGGTGGATCTTGTTATGAGGGAATTTTACGACAATTGTACTTGCTGACATTACTCGTAAGGGGTTCTGAATCATCTTCCTGCTGAGCACAATTCAGTGTGAACTGACAATATCGATGGTGACAGAATCGATCTCATCTGTCTCCATTTATGAAGTGTAAATTATTTTCCTAATCATCACACGCTACTGTGGATAGAACTCAACCGTCTCTCACACACTGACCTTAACAACCTCTATTTCTCTCAACGGTGAGTAGATGAAGGTCTGTAAGAACCACAATATCCGAAATGCTGTAGCGGGGAGTGAGCGGTGAAACTAGAAATCTGTATTGTACTTACGGCAGTAGGTCCAATGGTGAGATTTCGCAATAAGAAAGTTGATGGGCGATAATCTATTCATTCGAAAAGCATGACTATGAAGGCGATCGATTTTAGGTGGAGTACTAGTTTCATTCCTTAACGAGTCCAGTGGAACTAGCTAGACATATACGGTTTTGGTAAGAGTGGTATTTATTTTTGCGAGATGCAATTGCTAGCTTCATACGCAACCTTCCATCTTGACCACTGTAATTCCTAACTCGGCGAGGTTAAGTAGTGCGTCGGCCACAGACGCACACGTGTCGGGTCCAATACTACTAAATTCAGTCGCTCCTCTAGTTCCGAGTGGAACAAACCAACTCAGTACCACATCTGCTTTCCAATAGACTGTCTATTATTTTTCCAAGCGCCTCTCATCAATCACCTCAGATTTCAATGTCCTCATCTCACGTTCTTCCAGATTTTAGGCACGTAACAACACTCACATTGACGCCTCACATTTTGGTTCCATTTGATAGTCTACTCGGTATGAGATGTCAAATGAATGTTTCGTCGCCGTCTTTCCAACTTAACTGCATTTCCTTCTGAATGTTTGTTCGCCAGTGTCTTCTTGACTAGATCACTGCCTCTCAGAATTCCTGGCTGCATACTTCTTTTGTTCAGTTATTTGACCTTCAGTTCTGAGTGAAGACGTGGTGATGGAAGTTAGCAATGTGTGACACTATGTGTAGAACACCGTCGAAGGGGATTCCATTTTCATCTTAGATAGAGGCCTTCCCAGTAGAACCTGGAATTCAGCTGTGATAAATAGCTGAGAATCAAGTGGAATATCACAAAGCAACAAGTATAAGCATAACAATTAGAGAACAAACAAATACGAATACAAGTGATGAGGGTAAAATCAGCATAAGATATGAAAATGTCGAAATAATAATATAAACTGCAGAAGATGAACTGATAATCATCACCAAATTAGTTTCAGCGTCCTTATACGTATCAGTATTGCAGTCAGTTCATTCACGATCGGTTTTCCAAACAGTTAATCCCGTCAAACATTTGATGTATGTATAATATGTGGTCCACCTCCAATCCTGATCCAAACACAAAGTCAGTATCTAAAATTTAAGATAACTGCTTTACTAATGATGAAACAACAATCATTTTAGTATCTTCATGACACCAGACACTCGGATCGTTTCAGCGTTTGAAGATGTGCATCAATCTATAGCTTAATAACGCGTTGGAGAGTGAATTAGAATTGAGAAAATCCCAACATGAATACCACTATTCAAAATTACTCGTACAAAGGAAGGTCTCTGGATAGCCAACTTGAATTTAGTCACGTAAATGACCTAATCACTGAAACAATTATTTTTCTTATTCACATTGTCATTCGTCAGTCATGAATTGGGCATCTAGTTTCATATCAAGCTCACTCACAAACATAAATAGATGCAAAGATTCAATCATGCAGTGACAAATGCATACACGGACGAACGAACGAACAATAGAGTAAATAAATAAGTAGGTAGTCTTGTGTTTACATCAAGAATTGTAAAGGTTGATGACATTTCGAACTTATTTGGTACTATAGAACATTGTGTGAAAAACAATCAGATTAACTACATATTTGTGTTGAAAACATCATACTGGTGAGGATTAAAGTAACTGGACACTTACTTGCATAAACACACTCATGCATGAATGCATGCACAATGACAATTTAGTTAAAAAACAACAAATACATCATAATTGTGAGATGAAATAATCATCAGTCACAGTGTGAGATTGTGTGCATTGAGATAGTGAGGTTGAATTGATCAGTTACTGGCATGTAAACCTAACCAGGGTCTACTTGAACTGAATTCTTGGATGTTGTTTATAATCCGGTAAACTGAGTAAACGCTGAGCAGTTAAGTGTCATCGTATAAGATAGTAATATTCAAATTACCGTAATGTGACCAAAATATCTGTAAACCTCATTCAATAGCTGGCTGCATAGGGATGCCACGTGTCAGGCGATCTACAACGGAAAACTCAGCGAAGCCGTTGAAACGAAAGAGGACTAGAACAAGCTGGCTGCCTGCCTGCCTACTATCACTGATGATGACATTTCTAACTGTGGTTGACTTACTCAGGTATCAGACTGTGTATTGGCTGTGAGAAGACAGGAATACTCTACACTGATAAGAAAACTGTAGAAGATGTGGATTTTGATAATGATTTACACCCAGTATCATACAGTCTCGAGAACTTACAGTTGAAAAACAACAAACTGATAGAAGATGCACGAAGGAAACAGTCAAGTGCAAGTGAACGTTGAGAAATGGATGTGATAACGAAAACCAACCAAACAACAAGACAACCACCCGTGACAACAACAACCAGGACCAATCACTATTAACAAGAGAAATGTGAAAGTGGGCACTCCCTTCACTCATCTAGGCTAAATCGTCTTGACTACAAGCGACAACACGTATGTGTCTGTGGCTCAGTCAGCCTCTGAAAGACCGTTGTGACAGACCAGTGTCTCTATGAAATCGGTTCGGAAATCCCACGCGCTCATCAGTATAGAAAACGAATTCGGATTTTCAACACAAACGTGAAGTCAGCCAGTTCTTCTAGTCGGGTTGGAAGCTTGGTATAGGCGTCACGAAGAGCATTTCCAACAGGAAGCTGTGGACAATTATCAACAGCTGCCATCTTCACTAGCTGCATACTGAAGATGAGATGACCAGCCTGAATGATCTGCCTACATGAAACTCTGAAACAAACTAATCGCAAACCTATTGCTCAACAAATAGTTCGTAGTAAATGGAGATGGATCGGATACACACTGAGGAGGCTGTTGAATGATAATGGGTTGAATGTAGGCCGTCGGTCGAGTGGAAGTTGAATGGAAAACGACCATTTAGGTGTGGGTCAGAAGGTGACATATAGAAGACAGTGCGAGTAGGAGATGAAGAGAAGCTCAGAGAAGAGGACAAAGTGGATGTGTTCAGTTGAGGCCACGTGTTCATCTGAGAACGTAAGGGAACAATGAGAAATTATATTGTAATGCAAGATAGCGGTGATAAAACACTCACGGGTAACCTTTTCGCTAACACAGGATAAAACTTCTCAACATTTGTGACACGTATATTGGAGGCAATTCACAATATTGTGACAACATCACTCATACCACACCCCGATTTACACATCATAGTTGTTTAGTCTGATTCTGATTTTTATGTCCACAGGTTCACTTGAGTAGATATTAATATATGTGGGAAACTAGGACACTGCTAGTAAGTAATTCCATATTAGTTTGTTTATTGGATAAATGTGAAGAAGATGTGAAAACACACAAAAGCAAACAATCACGTCCAAGGTCACCAGGTGAGATGGTTAATAAACTCGTGAAGAAATCTAAAAGCTCACTTTCAATTGAAGTATGCGTTGAAGATGTCGCCTAGTAGGGCGATGAAAGCTTCGCAAATTAACCACCCAGCTCAGAGAACACAACCACATCAAGACGTGACATTGTATTTTAAAACTGTCATCCTATCCCATCCTATTGTATGGTTTTTGTACTTGCATGTAGTGCTATAGCTGAACAAATCTCCAGATTTTTAAAAAGCTTATTCAGGTCAGCTAATTTAGATTTTTTGTCACAGGTTAGGAAGAGATTGATAAATGATTGATGATTTATTGATCTAATCAACTGCAAACACGTGTGATGGGAATGATTCAGTCCCTGATATCTGCAAAATTCTACTACCCTAACGACGACAAATAGGAGAGGACAAAGAGAACTATAAAACTCAGCTTTCAAAGTCGTGTGATTATAATCGATGTGATTATTAACCGCAATACATTTTTTTCGAAACTGTGTCATCCAGAGAAACAATAATACTGTTTCACTCTGTGATACATCCAATAAACAAATTAATCTGGAATCACTTGAGTGGATATGCACGGAAATCACATGGATGGAGTGTTGACACATGAGAGATAAATAAGTATCTCGAATGATGGAGATGTAGGTGTATGTCAAGACTCATATGTGATAGCAGTTGTATCTCTACACATTGTTGTTGATCACTGCACGAAATATTCCGTTCATAGTTTGAATACAGCGAGTGGGATACAAAGACAGTTGAAATATGATAAGAGAGTATCAAGGAGATGAGATATGACGAAATAGCTCTCGTGGCTGCATGTAGTCAGACATTCATTCACATCAGTGAATGTCAGACATCAAACCCCATCCACTAGTAAGCGACAATAACTACAGTGAGGTAATATTCCATCCCACCAAGCACTTTATACGCTGAGTTTCAGTGAAATGCAGTATTCATCATGAATCTCATGAGGAACCTCAGTTTGTACTGTGCTGGCAGATATTACTGTTCGAAGTGTAGAGGGAATCCGTGAATTATCAAATATGACGAGATAAGCGAAGAGAAGCTTTCGACGAGGTTGCATCCACTGAAGTCACAGCACTTCACAATGTGGAGGTCAGCTGAATGTCTCGTAATGAAGTGAAGTGAATAGAAACGGCAGACATGAGGTGAAGGAGGAGTAATTCGATGAATCTGTGAGTAGGAGATTTCCAAATGAATGGCTACAATGAGTGGGATACCCTGTATCGCTTGTGGCTCTTGTCCCACACATGTGAGGCAGTTCTGTGAACTCTTAGTGAACATAGTCGAGTTAACCTCAGCCAGTTTTGTAGTCAGACACTGCGGAACGAAAGAGTTAAAAACATGATTGGCCTTCAAACGCCACACCTTGATGAAAACAGTGGGAAGTGACTCTAGTATCTCTCCTAGTCAAAAAATTACTGACCAGATTCAATTCACTTCATCAAACATGTAACTGGGTTGTTGTCGTTTCTCAGGACCGTTCGGAAGTATGCTCAGATGAGTGGGATATTTAGAATCAGCATCAAGCTGATATTTCCATTATCACGTCATATCAACTGACATGAAACTGAATATCCCTGTCCTTAGCTTTTGGATAGCTGTTGCCTCGGCTCAAAACCACGATATGTATCCAAACTAAATACGTCCAACCCCTGTCACTGCTGTGGTCAACATAAACCGGCAATTCTTTTAATAGTGACTATCCCATTGCCTTCCTTATGCAAACTTCCTGTTTATTCATGTTATTTTAAGCATTTCTTAATCCCTGTGTACACTAACATACTTTCATATCCGAACTTCCTGTCTATTTTGTTATTTCATTATTTCTACATATTTAATTCCTGATTGCATAAACAATTATTCGTCACATTAGTTATGATCCCACTAGATTTTTCATCCAAATATCCTGTTTATTTTTGTTATTTCTACATTTCTAACCCTGACTGCACAATATGTCAATCTTCTCAGCAATTATGTTGCTACTTTGTTTGAGATTCATCTGTTCCCCCTGTTGATTATGGCATTTTAATTCCTTATTGTAATTTTATTAATCTGACTCTTGATAGGAAATTATTCTGGAACTTTCCTACCCATTTATTTATAAATACATGAATGTACAGTCTAGTTGATGGTGACTTTGTCGAGAAGAAATTTTTTTCGCTGCAACCGTCGTTTTATTCCTTATGATCAAATTCTAGATCAATTGAAAATTGAAATTCATGTCTGCAGTTATCAAATATTAATTTCACATACATTGTAACTGTTTTCTAACCCTAGGTAATCTTGTCTCTAAGCCCTTACAATATACATTCACACCTTCAAACTTTCATATCAAGCTGAAATCGATTACGCTACTTAATCAACTTCGCTGCTAAAAAAATAACAAATATATTTACGTAAACATAAGCATTTTTTTATTTTTTTAATTACAGCTTGATTGCACACCGTATATTTTGGTACAGGTATAGAATTTTCAGCATGTGATATCGGTAGCCCAAATTGTGGAGGCCGACCATAGATATCAGGTGTGGGTCGGCAGGGAATCAAACCTCGGACCATGTGCATAGTTGGCGAGAGTCCTAACCACTGTGCCACTGATGCACAGGTGTAAATTCTATCGTAAAGCTTTTGAGAATGAAACCGTTGAAAAGATATATTTGCTGAACTTCTTCGTTTACCTCAAATATTCCGATGGATATTTTCCACGATTTAAAAATATACTTGTCATCTTTATCAAAATCCAGCAATTAAAGCATAACAAATTCCACTTTTAATCTATCACAATATTTTATTTTATTTATATAGAAACGTATTTCAACCAATCACTAATATCCTTGAAGTGAATTCCATCTCGAAACAAGGACACCAACACACTGATTCATTCAATGCGCTTGTAAAAGCGTTTGAGCACTGGAAAACAATAATTGCAAAGAGAGAGAGAGAGAAGGTGAGAGTTAGGCATAAGGGAAAATGAGAGAATGATCACTCACAAATTGAAACGGCCACTCCGATTTTGTTTCCCAATTCATCTTCTTCGAAATATGCACACACTCTCTCATATATCTTTCGACATATTTTGTCAGTCGTATGAAAAGCTACCAACCATGGATTTGTCTAGATAAATTGATGTTGTATAATATCATTGGAGGATGTATGTCACTTACCGCTGGTGTGTTTGTCTTTTCATCTGACGTGTGATTATGCGAATATCTATATTGACAAGGTGGTAAGATATAAGAGAAACTGTTAGAAAGTGTAAATGATGAGACAAGTGATGCATAGGTAATAGCTTATTCATTAAATGTAGAGAGTTGATGTAGATGTATGCGTTGGAATACCACAGAGCATGAGGTGTTAGGAGAGGAATATATGGTGGATATATTGACTTCAGAAACGACCCTGAGAAGACCCAGATTTCACAGAAGATTTCTGTCTTATATCTCACGAAAGTGAAAATATACAAGCCGAAACCAGCTGGATGACAGCAGAGACAGGGAAGAAGAGACCTAGAATGAACCCAGAGAAGACACTGGCGATCAAGACATCAAGTCAACAACAAACGTAAACCAATCACCTTCAAGAGGAGAAACCTGGAGAAATTGGCCACATCTCAATTACCTGGAGATTGTCGTTTGTATTTCAGGTTACAGCACGCAAGCCGATGACAAGGACAATCAGAATAGGATCAGAAAAGAAATGTACGTGTTAATTACCTCAGAGTCAGTGTGGAGATAGATTCATATCACTCGTCGCATAATAGATTGAAAAAGAGATGCCTTTTCTTCAATAATGTCCACTCAGTACACACATATAGTTCAGAGACTTGGGGTACGGGTCATCAGAATCAATTTCAACAGGCTTTCCAAGATAATTACAAACCGTCACTTGCGCCTCAACCCCGCGGTAATCAATATCGAATGACAGGCAGAAAATCAGTGAAGATAGCATGGACTAACGAACGCACAGATGCATAAGATGGATTCAACATCAACTGAGCACACACCTAAATAATATTAGACACCAGGAAATCCGTTGAGTGAACGAAATGAGAGGCGACGGATTTGTTGTGCAATTGAAGGTGGCACGGAGAAGATCATGTGGGTGGGCTGTCGTTAATCCCTCCAAATGTGAGAATGGAGAGTGGAATGGAATGAAAATGTGATGCTATTTCATGGGGGAATTAAACAATGAATAGTCATCACTAAAATAAATTGGTACAGTTGATATAATATGCATTTGTGTGAATTATTCTGTATTACATCATTGATTTATAGGAGACAAAGGCCAATGAGATTATGAAGACGGAAATATGGTGGCCCCAGATGATCTGAATATCTTCAATGATTTGTCTTGTGTAGCATAAGGTTGAATATCACCAGTGAATATTTTCTAACAAGTTGTCAGATGAAGGAAAAAAATAGAGAATAAGCAGCTGATTAAACTAACTAACGAAACACCCAACCAACCAACCCCAACCCACAACAAGCATCAAGCACTATGAATGCATCAAACGTATTAGCACTCGCTTCTTTCGCTTACCTGAACACCGTTGTTTCAATTAGACAACACGTGGGTGAGGATGTCAAAGCCTATCAGGATTTGATTGGGAGTGGGATAATAGGCATTCAGTAGTCTTCAATCATTGTTGGAATCCAAACACACACACACACTCACCACATAGAAAACATCTTGAGTTCTCTACGCCAATATCAAATCGGTGAGTGTTTCTATTTGCTACCCAGACGTATTCGATATGCAACCAAAATCAATTAGAACAGCTTGTTGTAGACTTTCATCAGCATGCAGGAGCATCTCCTCTATACTGAAGGTGAGTGAGATGCTCAGCCACGAAGGACAAACAATGAAGAACTATGGAAGATCACGAACCAACCGATGAGGGATATACAGAATGAAGTGGAGATGTATTGACATACACTGAAGAACTAGACATTCAGGTAACATCCCACTCCCTCAGAGAGTGGAAAGGAATGAGAAGCAAGTAGATGTGAGTGGGTGCAACGGTAACATGAAGATCGTGTGAAGAGGAAATTCAAGCATACGAGCAGTCGTGTAGCCCGAGGAATGTGATGGCAGTGAGTCGAGGACCAAGGAGTTAGTTAGTTGTGAGGCTGAGATAACATGTCGCATGCAACGAATAACGATAATAGCAATAATAATAATAATTATAATAGCAAAAATAGTGTTGGTATGACTTACACAGTCTGGACGAAGACCAAACACATCACCAGTGAAACAACAATGACTGATTTCATTTTGCTCCGATAAACTTCAGTATGGACTACACAACCGAGTATTCGCCTTTTATACAATTCTTGACTCCACGGTGTCTACAAAACGCCCACGTCTTTGTTTGTCTCTCTGTGTTAATATCATTCAGCAATAAATTTTCATTCTCATCTGTGCATCGGTTTGATGTGTGCATCAGATTTCTTATCTAAACCGAATGTATCACTGATTATTATTCATTGTGATTGGTTGTATGATATATGTCGATTCTACAAATCTAATTAAGTGTGCAATTTTTCACTGAACAAAATGGAACCGCACTACTCCGTCACTGAATACACACATACAAACTGTACACATACTGTTCATGGTGTTGAAAATAACTATGAGATTTAGAGATAAGCCAGTCACTGATCAGCTGAAGATGAAGCCTAAATTTAAAGTGTGCGTCAGTAAGATGTTGACATGTGCTGCACATTGTACTGATTCACAAAGGGCGCATTGTTATCATGTGGATACACAGTTGTGAAGGGAATTTCTTGCTACCTAAATTCCAGTAAGACTACTGATAGTAGAAGTAACTGAAGTAGCATTATTTCCACTGTAGTATCATAATCATCCATTATGCGAATATGAGGGATGCAGTCATTTCTCAATAATATCCGGACGTCGGATATTGTTGGATATTCTGAGATGGATAAATAGGAAGGCGAGGATCAGCTGCAGCAAACTCCGGACAGAGATATTCAATTTCATGTCAGTTGATATGATGTGATAATGGAAATATCAGCTTGATGCTGATTCTGAATATCCTAGTCATCTGAGCAAAAACTTCCAAATGGTCCTGAGAAACGACAACAACCCAGTTACATGTTTGATGAAGTGAATTGAATCTGGTCAGTAATTTTTTGACTAGGAGAGATACTAGAGTCACTTCCCACTGTTTTCATCAAGGTGTGGCGTTTGAAGGCCAATCATGTTTTTAACTCTTTCGTTCCGCAGTGTCTGACTACAAAACTGGCTGAGGTTAACTCGACTATGTTCACTAAGAGTTCACAGAACTGCCTCACATGTGTGGGACAAGAGCCACAAGCGATACAGGGTTTCCCACTCATTGTAGCCATTCATTTGGAAATCTCCTACTCACAGATTCATCGAATTACTCCTCCTTCACCTCATGTCTGCCGTTTCTATTCACTTCACTTCATTACGAGACATTCAGCTGACCTCCACATTGTGAAGTGCTGTGACTTCAGTGGATGCAACCTCGTCGAAAGCTTCTCTTCGCTTATCTCGTCATATTTGATAATTCACGGATTCCCTCTACACTTCGAACAGTAATATCTGCCAGCACAGTACAAACTGAGGTTCCTCATGAGATTCATGATGAATACTGCATTTCACTGAAACTCAGCGTATAAAGTGCTTGGTGGGATGGAATATTACCTCACTGTAGTTATTGTCGCTTACTAGTGGATGGGGTTTGATGCCTGACATTCACTGATGTGAATGAATGTCTGACTACATGCAGCCACGAGAGCTATTTCGTCATATCTCATCTCCTTGATACTCTCTTATCATATTTCAACTGTCTTTGTATCCCACTCGCTGTATTCAAACTATGAACGGAATATTTCGTGCAGTAATCAACAACGATTTGTACTGATACGAATGCTATCACACATGAGTCTTGACATACACCTACATCTCCATCATTCGAAATACTTATTTATCTGTCAGGTATCTGTTATGTACTCGTCGAATGGTTAATAGTCCTGACGCAAGAAGGCGGAAATCAGAAGACCACTAGGTTCACGATGATACTTGTATTTTTCAAACACAAGGAAAAATCGATGTCACACAAGTGTGTGAGTGAAAATAGTATGTATGTCTGGACAAGTGTGTGAACACAAGTGTATGAGCTAATGTCCAAAAATGAACGAATCAGTAGACAGTCTTAACATGATTGTTAACTATAATAGAATATCGATCCATATATACATAGCAAAATATAACAGACTGTCAAACAAACACACATATTATGTGTATATATATATCAGTATCAACGCTCTATCCTTGCGATTTCCGTATTTATCGACTCAAGTGATACCATATTATTTTGTTTATTGGATGTATTACATTGTGAAACAGTATTATTGTTTCACTGGATGACACAGTTTCGAACAAAATTTATTGCGGTTAATAATCACATCGATTATAATCACACGACTTTGAAAGCTGAGTTTTATAGTTCTCTTTTTCCTCTCCTATTTGTCGTCGTTGGGGTAGTAGAATTTTGCAGATATTAGGGACAGGTGTTGAATAATTCCTATCACACGTGTTTGCAGTTGATTACATCAATAAATCATCAATCATTTATCAATCTCTCCCTAACCTGTGACAATAAATCTAGATTAGCTGACCCGAATAAGCTTTTTGAAAATCTGGAGAATTGTTCAGCTATAGCACTACATGCAAGTACAAAAACCATACAATAGGATGGGATAGGATGACAGTTTTAAAATACAATGTCACGTCTTGATGTGGTTGTGTTCTCTGAGCTGGATGGTTAATTTGAGAAGATTTTATCACTTTACTAGGCGACATCTTCAACGCATACTTCATTTTGCAGTGAGCTTTCAGATTTCTTCCCAAGTTGATTATTAATCTTCTGTCCTGGTTGGTGACCTTGGACGTGATAGGTTGCTTTTGTGTGTTTTCACATCTTCTTCACATCTATCTAATAAACAAACTAATATGGAATTACTTACAAGCACAGTGTCCTAGTTTGACGCGTATATTAAAATTCACTCAAGTGAGTCTGTGAACATTAGAATGGGAATCAGAATAAACAACTATGATGTGTAAATCGGGGTGTGGTATGAGTGATGTTGTCACAATATTGTGAATTTCCTTCAATGTACGTTTCACAGATGTTAAGTAGTTTTACCCTATTACTTATGAGTGCTTGATCACTGCTACCTTGCATTATTATTTTATAATTACTCATTGTTCCCTTACGTTCTCAGATGAACACGGGGCCTCAACTGAACACATCCACTTTGTCCTCTTCTCTGAGCTTCTCTCTACTTGACCTCACAGCTGCACGTTGACTCTCATGTTTTACTCGCGCTGTATTCTACATGTCACTCTCCGACCCACACCTAACTGGTCGTTTCTCATTCAACTTCCACTTGAGTGACGACCTACATTCAAGGCAATATCATTCGACAGTCTCCTCAGTGTGTGTCCGATCCATCTCCATTTACTACGAACTATTTGTTGAGCAATAGGTTTGCGATTAGTTTGTTTCAGAGTTTCATGTAGGCAGATCATTCAGGCTGGTCATCTCATCTTCAGTATGCAGCCAGTGAAGATGGCAGCTGTTGATAATTGTCCGCAGCTTCCTGTTGGAAATGCTCTTCGTGACGCCTATACCAAGCTTCCAACCCGACTAGAAGAACTGGCTGACTTCACATTTGTGTTAAATTTTCTATACTGATGAGCGCGTGAGATTTCCGAACCGATTTAAGAGTGACAAGGGTCTGTCCCGCCTTTCAGAAGCTGACTGATTTCTACAGCCGCAAACCTGCTGTCGGTTGTAGTGGAAACGATTCAGACTAGATGGGTGAAAGGACTGCTCACTTTCACATTTCTCACGTTGATACTGACTAGTACTGATTGTTCTTCTTGTTGTTGTGGTTGGTTGTCTCGTTGTTTGGTTGGCTATCGTCATCATATACATCTTCCCAACGTTCACTTGCATTCATCTGTTGTCTTCATGCATTTCAAGTCAGTTTGCTATGCGTAAATCATCCTCAAAATCCACATCTTTTATAGTCTTCGTATCAGTGTAGAGTATTCCTGTTCTCTCGCTCTCAACACTCAGTCTCCTGCCTAAGTCAGTCAACCACAGTTAGAAATGTCCTCATCGATGGTAGGAGGAAGGCGGCCAACCAGCTTGTCTTACTCCTTTATTCACTTCACTGGCTTCACTGAGTTCTCCCATAATGAATCACCTGACACGTGGCATCGCTATGCAACCAGCTGTTGAATGAGATTGATAAAGATATGATTCACACCATGGTACATGGAATATCACTAAATTATGCGATGATACTCAACTTCTTGGCATCCACTCAGTTTACAGGAATGCAAACAACATCCAAGAATTCAATTCAAGTAGACCCTGGTCAGGTTTACATGCCAGTAACTGATCAATTCAACCTCACTATCTCAATGCACACAATCTCACACTGTGACTGATGATTATTTCATCTCACAATTATGATGTATTTGTTGTTTTTTAACTAAATTGTCATTGTGCATGCATTCATGCATGAGTGTGTTTATGCAAGTAAGTGTCCAGTTACTTTAATCCTCACCAGTATGATGTTTTCAACACAAATATGTAGTTAATCTGATTGTTTTTCACACAATGTTCTATAGTACCAAATAAGTTCAAAATGTCATCAACCTTTACAATTCTTGATGTAAACACAAGACTACCTACTTATTTATTTACTCTATTGTTCGATCGTTCGTTCGTGTACGCATTTGTCACTGCATGATTGAATCTTTGCATTTATTTATGTTTGTGAGTGAGCTTGATATGAAACTAGATGCCCAATTCATGACTGACGAATGACAATGTGAATAAGAAAAATAATTGTTTCAGTGAATAGGTCATTTACGTGACTAAATTGAAGTTGGCTATCCAGAGACCTTCCTTTGTACGAGTAATTTTGAATAGTGGTATTCATGTTGGGATTTTCTCAATTCTAATTCACTCTCCAATGCATTATTAAGCTGTAGATTGATGCACATCTTCAAACGCTGAAACGATCCGAGTGTCTGGTGTCATGAAGATACTAAAATGATTGTTGTTTCAGCATTAGTAAAGCAGTTATCTTAAATTTTAGATACTGACTTTGTGTTTGGATCAGGATTGCAGGTGGACCACATATTATACATACATCAAATGTTTGACGGGATTAACTGTTTGGAAAACCGATCCTGAATGAAC